TATAGTTGAGCTTCAGTCAACGCAGCATTCTTAATGACTGCTTCTTGTGCATTCATCTTAGCTTGCTCGTTTGCAGCCCAAGATGCAGCTCTTCGTTCTTGTAACTCGAGTTGCTCCTTGACATGGTCGTGTGCCTCGCGGTGAATAGCTTCCACTGTCTTTTTCACCTCTTCATCTTTCTTGGACATCAGTTCCCTGTGTCGCGCTTCTGCAAGTTGTGCGACTTCAGCGGACTTGTCCAGATTGACATTGATCATTCTTTGATCGTGGAAGTTTGCCGTCTGGTTAATGACTTGTCTCGAATCATTGTATGTACTAGACTAGACGGTACAAAGGCAGGGCTTGTGGGAGACAAGATAATAGCACCAGTCGGTGTGGCTGGTGGCAACACGTTCCCATGTGCTTCAACCAATGCATCCTCATCATGCTCTGAGGTGAAGACTTCCGTCTGTACATATGACCCATTCTCATCGGCATCACCGACTCTTGACCTCGATCGATCCGTGCCATCTCGAATTGATTCGAAGGGCCTATCCGCCATGCCACCTCACGTGTGCGCAGAACGAGGGTGGGTAGGTGACACAGCTAGAATGGCGCGTACCGCTCTTTGGCGATACGGCTGATAACCTGAATTTACAGGCCAACAGCCTACAAGTACCAACATGTAGAGCGCCCTTTTCTTGAGCCAAACATAGAGGTCAATATGGTATGTACAGGTGTACAATCGTGCAAATACAGTTTTCACATCTTTATAGTCTTTAGTCACGTGTCTTTCTTGTGGATGGCTACCAAACCACAAGTCCAACAGTGGGGACTTCATCGACACACCAAACTTGTCGTCCCAAACCCAACAGGTCGACTTTCTTGCCCAAACAATCCATGAACACTATAGGAGCAAGGACGCTACGTTCGGGGCTCCTGGTCTTACTATACCAGGAGCAAGAAGCTACGAACGTAACAAGAAGCTAAATCAAGGCCCCACGCGGCTTCACTCCGAAACAAAAACGCTCGCAGCAACGGTTAGAATGGCACCTCAACGTACCCGACCGCAGCGACGGACGATTTGAGGTGCAGCCAGTGCAGGCAATGGGACACGCATGCGATTCGTGGCATCCATGTGGGGTTTGTCGTTCTAGTGGTGTTGCAGTTCGTCGGTGGAAAGGTTGGAGATGTCCATTAGCTTTTTTCCAAAGTTCGGTTTCAAGGGAATCAAAGGTCCTTGGTGCTCCTGCCGACATGCCCGTTCCGATGTCATATCTACTTGGTGAAAAGATGTGAAATGGAACGTAATCCTACAAACAGAACCTTCCATGCCTAACATGTCCCAGCCTGAAGAAATGAAGTGCCTGATGCACGATGGTGTTCTTTTCTTCCATCCACAGTCAGGACTGAGGCCTTCTGCAAGCATGCAACAGTAAGAAGATGTAAAAAGGCTGGGACGCTCTAAAGGCTGCGACTGCTGCAGCTGAGCCTCCAACAACCCTCGGTAGATGCATATAGTGATTCATAGCATAGCATAGCATAGCATAGCATAGTGGTATACAGCATTAATAGTTTGTAGCTAGAAACACGTGAGTATCAGTTCTGTCTCTCACCAAGCCAAAATGTCTCGTCTGCCCGCAGCCAGCACTCAGCATAATAAGTGCAAGAAGAATGGTCAGTTTCGCCACTCGTCACAAAAGCACGCCAGTTGCAATCAGGTCACTCAGCCAACACAGGTTGGAATAAAAAGTAGTATAGGTTGGAGGCCATCGCTACTAGGGGGAGGCCATCGCTCTTAGGTTGGCAGCCATCGCTAGTACCAACTCTTGACCAATTGACTGTTCATCTCTTGGGGTAAACATGAGCCAGCAGAGGTTTATGGCTCGACAAGTAGGACCCCGGTACTGGTTCTAGTCTCAATATAAAAATAGCCAGTGGGTCTGCACATATAAAAATACCCCCAAGAATTTGTGTGGAAAATCCCGGGAATTTCATCGATGTGATTATGATGCTGTTTCCGGGGATTTGAGTGGGGAAGGCAATCCCCAAAAAGGTTGTCCCCATGAGTCCCCCAAGCTTTGACCAACCATCACCAGAAAATCTCTACCGGGATGTTCGGACACCGACGAATCAAACCTTCAAAAAGAGGGAAGACATTCTTTTTTTATGCAACATGATCAAAGTTTCTCTCAACCGAAGATTGACTCTGTGTAGGGTTCATTCCCATGAGGCGACCTCAACAAACACGAAAGAAAGGGTATACTGGACCCAGAGTGAGCATCACGAGTAGCCAAGAATGAGGGAATGACATACAGTAATCTAATCATCTGAACCAAAAAAAAAAAACCTAATCATCTGTAGGGCTTGTCTTCGTCGCCCAAACGATTTGGCAAACGAAGCCCAACGAGCATCGTGGCGCTTCAGCCCAGGTGAGAGGACCCATACGACAGGAACAAGGGTCCGCGTCAGTTCTGACGAGTCCACGCGACTCGGTGAGAATGAGGAAATGGATCCTATCGGAATCAGTGGAGGGTTATTCCTTCATTCCCTTCGAAAGAACAGCAGCAAAACCGCAGAATCAGTGAGTGACAGACCGATCTGAAGGAAGCGGAAGTTCGACCATCCAAGGATTTGATTTAGAATTTGCCCCAACCCAAAGCGTTCATGTACGGAATAAGGACGAATAAGTAACAAATCCAATAAGTAAGTAACGATTCCTGAATGTAGACTGTTGATTCATAACCCCTCAATTTGGATTGCAACACCAAAAGGTTGGGGGTTAAAATATCATCAAGATGTAATCTTATATACATGTATGCTCTGGGCAATGGACCTGAAAGCGAGGCGATCGGTGTCCATGGTGTGGAGAACCCAGAGGTTCATCGCTCCGCATGTTCCGGACGTTCGCGCTAGACATCGCATTTCGTGGCCCTAAAGGATGTATATAAAAATAGAACTTTAAAAAAATAACATTGGGGGGTTGAAAACGCATCCAACAAAGCAGTGGTCCAGTACTCATCAAATGATACATCCTCACTTGACAAAAACGAAGCCGTTGAGTCCAGGGGACAAAAAAAATCTGCTCTCCTGCAAGGTTCCAGGTCAGCGATCGACCCCTCTTCAGCTTCACACCCCTGACCCCGAGCGATTCGTGGACTTCCAAGAAGTTGAGAACGTGATGCAGTCAATCAGTTTGTCCCCAGCCGTTCTATCCGGCCTGGGGGTTGTGGTTTTTTCTGCCCGATGAGAAAAACCGACATGCGAGCGACCCCAAAGACCGCATCGCACGCACGAACGGATGACATGCATATGGTAGCTGTCCCCAGCCCCCCTTACATCAGGTATGCTGAAAGTGGACTTACTATATAGATCCTATATATGGTAGGTTCGTTTTTTTTTTGCAACCCCACCCCCAACTATTCCTTACACATCACTTGTAAGACATGCATATAAGTGTCAATATCCACGGCTAGGATCGACGTTTGGGCGATTGAAATGCTGATGTTCGTCAGTGAATGGCAAGGATCAACAACCAAATGGTGGCAGCCAAACTAGTATGTAGAGGCTGAGTACGTACATACAGTGCCCAAAGAAACTTTGCTGCAGCCTATCATTGATCCTCACCACATTCCAGGGTTGAACCCGTTTGAAAAATCACGAGCTACAGATTCGGTTCTTAGTCCGTGGTCGGGCGCACAGGCCTCCAGCGCGCAGCCCAGCAGTCAGCCCGGAGTTTAGATATCTTAATGCCAGGTATATTCATTTCATTACGATCGATGTTCATCTGTGAGGTACTCATCTGAAAAGAACCAACACTATTGGCCAAAAGCTTTCAGAAGCTGAACATAAGGATTCCGCAAACAACACTGCATCTTGGTGATCTTGATGTGGCTTGGACTTTTTTGCAAAATCAGTCCAAACCATTGAATCTCCTTAGAGGTGCGGACCCCAGGTCCTTTTGAACAATTTTGTCCCTGAGGTTTATTTTGTGTTTTGTGATTCCCCCCTTTCTTGGCTTTTAATCACCACCACCACCACCACCACCACCACCACCGATCAAGCACCACCGATCAAGCACCAAGTCCGTGCCTGTCCTTGCTTAATCCCGAGACTCAGGACTCATTCTGTATATATATATACACTAATAATTAAATACCACTATAGACATGTATAGATAAGTTAAGCCATAATAATCCTATATCAATTATTGTTCACACACACAGACTGAAATGGAATTGACGCATAAACGTATATATACAAATTTGTGGTGGTTCGGAATAACACATACAAAGGATTTCACGCCATTCCGTTCCTGGGAGATGTCCGGCGTTTTGACCCTTTGGTCTCCTTAGTGTTACGTTAATTTCAGGAAAAAGAAGCAACCGTATATGAAACAAGCATGTGTTTCCTGCAACCTGCACACCTCTCCCTAGTTTTTTTTGATGGAACTGTCCCGAAACAAACAATCCGTGTTTGCTCTGTAGAAGGGATTCTGCAACTTGAAGAATCAAAAATCCAACATTCTCCCCAACGGCTTTTCCAGTCTGTTCTCTTCATATGGCTTATATTGGGAGGTTTACCGTGTTCGAGCATCTCAAACCGAAAACCCTGGAAAGGCGCAGGAACCCTTCGGTCCAACATCCCCAATGGCCATTTCTGGTCCCTCCTCTTTGCCGGACCCTCTTTTGGGTGACGTATCCTAGGCATAGGATGGCATAGGCATATATATATATACATGCAAGGCTATAAAATGTTAATATTAGTATTGATTGGTATTAACATATGTATATCTATGGTATTGTAATGTATACATATATAATCATATATATATATGTTGGGTATATCCCGTTACCAGTAACAATAGATGATGATGGTTTGGTTGCAGGCCTTCCTCCAAAATAGGAGACAATCTCTTACCGGCTGTTATAGCTACTTATAGAGTTACTTGTTGAAAGCGCAAAATCGTAAAACACATCAAATCCAGGACATGACTGTTCGACCATCGGCTGGCCCCGACCCTACTGCAAAAAGTTGTTCTCTTGCATCACTCGAAAGGCATCCCTGAGATTGGTGATGCACACATCCTCTTCCAAAAGAGCAATCACCTGAGACCATCAAAGGGTCGACCGGTGTCCGGCGAAGTGGGCAACATTGGGGGGCGCAACGGCTTCAGTGGGAAGGTGGGAAGGCGCCCGCCATCAAACACCAAGGCCAGGAAGGAGGAGTCTTTTGGCCCGAGGGAATTCTGGCATCCGTGTTATGGACCCTTTCCACTACCCTTTCCTTCCATTTGATTCAGAGAGAGCTTCTTGCTGAGAAAAGAAGCAATTATGATAGATGTTATATGACTATCATGTCACTTTGTCTTTCTCCTGTTTCGATCAGCTTTGAATGGTAGAAAAAGTATCTTCATACGCGTCAGTTTGCGGACAAATCTCCAGCAATTCCGGTGTTTTCAGGGCTTTTCCCCGAACAAAGACCAAAGCAGTGCAAGTCAATATAAGTCGTGAGTTGCAGGTGACAGGCGACGGTCTTTACCGTTTCACACTGTCAACGACCTTCTTAGAATAACACCCAGAGTAGTTGAAGCGTCTCCGAGACTGCATGAAGAAGAAATCCAGAACCATTCTGACAGCTCTTGAGACTCGACATGAGGCAGAATCTTCATGAAAATTCTTAATTATATAGTATGAGGAAATATGAGGATGTATGAGGAACTGAAGATATCTCTCTGACATATGCTCCACAAATCACTTGGCAAGTAAGAAAACAGCCCACCTTCACAACGCACCCACCAAAACCACGCAGGAATGAATCGAAGAAGTCACAGCGGTTCTCAGCGGTTTGAAGCCAAGAGATGGATCTTCGCTGCGCTTCGGATTCCATCGATGAGCCAGTCAGGTTTCCATCTACAGCTTCTGTCTGCATCTAACCTCGACGATCCGGACAACAACGGTAATTACTTGAAAAGGACCCCTAATTAGACAAAATCCTTGTTTCTACATGTGTTTGCTCTATATTATATATATATATGTGTGTTGGATGTGTTTTTTGGGCGATGGAATCCTGCGTTCTGTTGGACGCCCCCCTGGTCCCCGTCTCTTCTGCGTGTGGATTTAACCTTCCGTCCAAGAGACATCATCGTGGGATCCGTTCAAGTCATGCGCGAGGGCGAAGTCGATGGGCAAATGACCCTGGGAGGTCCTCGATCCGCCCGGACCGCTCCGCCGCTCCGCGCTCCGCGGAGCGATGCCCGAAGCGGATGCGGCTCCGCGAGACAGAGCGCGGCCGGGCGCCCACCAAAAACCACCGGTGTTTGGGTCCTCGAGTTCGGGAAAGACTCTTGAGCGTGTTTGTTGTCCCGAAGGCGATAGCAAAGGGTTCTCGTGTCTTTTTCGAAGGTATACCGTGTACTGTCGCCGGGCTCGCCCCGTGATGTCCACCGCTGTGTCGACCTCGCTCGATGTTGGTGGCAGCTCGACGTTCATGTTGGTCGGTGGCAGGCTTCCGGGGTTGTGAACCACAGCCGTATGACCTTCCTACAGAGGTTAAGGTTAAGTCGTGACCTTATAGGACTCTACAGGAGTACCTATAGGATAGTCTATATGGTTCTTCAACCTCTGCTGGTTATTACCTGATTAATTAATGGTTGTTCACTAGGGAAGAACTTCTCTATTAACCAAGGCCGTTGATATACCAGGCCATTGATGGTGCACAACAGATCCGAGCGGAGAGGCCAGTGGCCAGGCACCGGTTGTTGAGATGGGTTGGTGATCCAGATCCCGTTCTCAACTTATCCCTCACAAGCTTGAAGCCAACTCAGCTGAGGGTGCTATAGAGCCTTTTCCGAAAGAAACACCTGTACGCCGAGGGTGAAGAAAGCTGGTCCGGTGTCTCACTAAGGGCCATTTGGAAGTGTGCACTGTGGAGCATCAAGGGCAGCCTGCAGATCAAAGTATCTTTGATGATTGATTCTTCCGCCATCAGAGCTCCTGGTTTAAATGTCCTTCAAACGATATTTGATCGACTGACTTGAACACACTTGGAGATGTGCGTCGGAGATACCAATATAGTTCCTTGTGTCAAACTATACAATTTCTGTAGAAGAGCTAGATGAGGTGACGGCCATGCTCCGGATTCCTCCTCAAATGAGAATCTATATGGACTTGTCATGTCGATGAATTATAATATTATACAGTAAGTGGTGTAAACTAACTCCAATACTAGTACCAGGTGGTTCCAGACTCCGTTTACCCGAACCAAGCCCGCCTCTGTTGAGGATCAGCTCCTGCTGCCAGCAAAGACCGGAGTAGCTTGATGTCTCCAAGCTCGGCCGCTGCATGGATGGGATAAATGCTCTCTTCTCGACCCACGAGCCGATGACATCTGCCGTCGCCGTCGCCGTCGCAATGGGGTAACCCGCCACGTCACGTCTGCAAAGAAACCCATGTTTAACAAAAGGATACCAAATCGCCCGGGCACATGGTGTTTTTCACGCCCGTCCACATCGCCGTGTTTCTGGTCGGTCTCACCGCGGTTCCAACCGAGAGGCATTGTCCGACGTGCACAGTTACACCGGCCACTGCTGAGGACCCGACCAACGAGGATGAGAACGTTGGTGGGCAAGCGTTTTGGTTGGAGGTGAGAAAACCAGTTCATGGGAAAATGAAGGGCACGACAAACGATCGCGCGGCCCTTTCGTTGGCGATCACGCGATGCGAACGATGCAGAATGCATCGTCAAATGCATTGAATGCGGCGCAGGGATCGGACCATGCCCATGCGGACCACTGGTCGGCTTCGAAACCAAAGCGTGGGGATCGGCCAGTCGAGTTTCACCGGCTTCTCATGGCGAAGGGGTTGCTGTGAATCGGCTCTCTTTGTTGGAAGAGTCTGGCTCCTCAAGCTAGCAAGAGTGCGTTTTGCCATGTTTGTTCCGCTGTAGTTGTAGGTTGCACAAATCCAAAAATACTCCGCTTGGTTGTGGGGATGACCTGATTTGCTGGTTGAGGTCACTCACGAGAAATGTGAGGAAGTTGCAACTTTCTGCACGATGCAAAGCGTGTTGTGATACATGCCAATACACGCAGCTCCAGATTCGCCCCCAACCAGCTGCAAGTGGTGCTGCTGCTTTTGGATGTTTTTCCGTATCGGATGGCCAGCGCTAGAAAATCGGTGTGTCACGCAAGACAAAGGGATATAGCAATATCATGGTTGGAATTGTTGGTTCCATTTGTATTGATAGAGAGTACCAGCTTCCTGTTCGCATGTCTAATGATTAAACATCGGAATAGTTTTACAAAGTTCAATTCATCCTCCGCACCAATGAATGCACTATTGACAATCAAATGCTCTCAGTGATGGAGTTTCATTTCAGGCGTCAAACCCGGCGCTGCCTGAAATTCCGTATTCTACCCGCGATGAGTTGATTTTAAACAGTTGCAGCTATGCACTCCGTGCTCAAATCTCTTGATCCGCCTGAGAAAAAACAGATGCTGCGCATTACCGATGCTTGTATAAACAAAAACAAATATATATATATATATACTGGTCGACTGGTCGACTATTGAGATTTACATCCTGGAAAACAGTCGCACGCTGTTTGCCTTTCGCCTCCAGTAACCACTGTACTACATGGGGGCCCATGTACAGAGCGGCGACGGAGGTCTATCCGAGTGAAGTTCGGGCTTTCCACCCTTTCTTCCTGGAATTGGTCGCCGCTTTCTTGTGCAGGGATGATGATGTTCCAAGCCCTTGTGAAAAGCCCACTCAGTGGGACAAACATTGAGTCAGGTGCCCGTGCATGTCAAAGGAATGATTGAATCACCGTGGCCACCGACAGTGTCTTCAGCAAGGCTCCCGAAGAAAGAAATTATACATAGTTATATAGTACAAATTATGCGAACTGAAAATGGTTTGAAGCTCTGCCACGAAGTAAACAAACGCTGGCCTGAAAAGGACCTCCTTGAAGGTATTCCTTTGAAGGGAGTCTGGAGAACAGGCGGCCTCAAATGTTGCTTCACTCTGACTCACGTTCCACAGGGGGTGAACCCACTTCCATGTGATGCGTTCATCGGAGTGTGCATGGGTTGGACCAGTCTTACACTCCGAAACACGAACACGGAAGTGGACAATCATCTGTTTGGAAAGGAATTCATGGTCATCCGGGGGCCCATGGGTTGGAACAGACCCAAACCCACACACCCGCGTGATTGTTTTTTGCGTCTGATGCTTCAAGTTCCGTTCCTAGAAACGCGATCGCAGCAGAGTCCGTCCTTCTTTTGGCGGCGGAACGTAAAGAAGAAGCAGCCCGCCTCAACCCGTGGCTCGTTGACATCAGTACCTCAGAACAGAATCCGGCAACTCAAACCAGCTGAGGTGGGAAAAAAAAAACAAAGTGCATGCAGAATATATGGCATTCAATGGGTCAAAACATGGTGACCCTGGTTGACCACCGGAAATGAACAGAATATATATATATATAACACAACAAATGGTTTATTTACCAGACATGGTCAACATATCAGCGCAAACGGAACTCCAGATTTTGACCCACAGCCCCGCCCCCAAGTACGGCGTCTTGTTTCCCGGCCCTTCAAATGATGGCAACATAGAGGGTCCCAAGCGGACTGCAAACAAATGACCTGGATTCCCCATGAGTCCGTATGGCCCAAGTCCGGTCAGACATTTCACAGTAGCATTGATTTCGCAAATAAACGCCGATTCCCATCCATTTCCGGGAACATCCATCGATGCCGAGCAGCTGAAGCCGTAGGTTTTCAGAAAGTGCGCCAGTCTCCTCGGCGCCCGTGGTCACTCGACGGTGCTCGGTCCTTCCTCCCAGCTGTGGAAGAATCTGGCACGGAAATTTCTGTGGCCGGAGAGGAGTTTCTGTGGCCAAGCGCTGCTTTTGAAGCACCGCCATTGTTTATAAAATGAAAGTGAAACTACAATACCAGCCCAACCTTTAACCTTTCTTTCAACGGTAATTGAAGGCTACAGGAAGGAGCGAATTTCTGTTGTTTTTTGGAACAGCAGATCGATGCCACACCTTCCTTCACACCTTCTGGAACCATCGGATGCACTTACAACCCCACTGTGACATTACTGAAACGATTGGGAGCCATACCTCAACGACCTGCTCAGTTCCACGTCCCCAACCAGAGTTGCTCTAACGCACATCTCACAGCAAGATCACATGGGATACTTGGACCGAGTTGACACCCATATCTGAGGCTCTGAGGTTGGAGGCCACCACTACTAGATTGGAAGCCATCACTACAAGTATTTTGGGTTGGAGGCCATCGCTATTGGGTTGGAGACTATCCATCGCTATACTAGGTTGGAGGCCATCACTACTAGTAGGTTGGAGGCAGTCGCTATTAGAGGCAATCATGGCTACTAGGTTGGAGGCCACCGCTAGTAGGTTAGAGGCATTGGAGGCCATTGCTACTAGGTATCTCTTCGGTTTTGAATGTCTGGACTGTCTCGACTGGACACAATTTTAAAAAGAACTGCTTCTCCGGCACCGTGGTGCACCGGGTCATTGATCTCTGACTTTTAAGTTGGAGAATCTAAACGGCCTATGAACAAAGACCCTCTTTATACAAGTCCGGCAGGGTCCGCGTCCCCACCCCGACTGTAGTTGGAGAACCACCGCGCATGTCTCGCATGTGCTGCCGCAGGCCCCACTCGGAGCCAAAAGAGCGCAAGCAAAGGTGGCAGCGATGGCGCGGTGGCTCGGCGCGGCTTTTTCTGTGCGCTGCTGGAGGAAGGTGAGACTGGGAAGGGCTTGCGGCGCGACATGGCGAGGAGCGGGCAGGATGCGGAGGTAGTAAAGTGCTTGAGACTACAACGGCGGCGTGAGAAAGAATATACAGAAGGGAAAGCAACGAAGTGGGAAGGAAAGAGCAGGAAACAGGAAGACGCAGGTTTTCGAGCATCGGAAGAGGTCCGGTCTGATGTCGTCAAGCCATTCAAGGCACGCGGTAGATGGAACTGGGTAAAGTCCAAGAGGTGGATGCAGTGATACCCATTATGATAGCATGGGCCCAAGGTCGTTCAATACCTGCCGGATGATGTCTTTGGGTCCGGTGAAGGTGCCAAGGCTGTGCATCATCAGCGGCTCCACGTATTTGTCCGTGCGACGGAGGTAACGGAACTCCTTCTCTTGAGAGTGTGCCAGATGCCCCAGGTGTATCCAGTCAAAGCCAAAGTGTAGATCTGATTGTCGGTGCCCTCGCGGACAATTCCCGGATAGGCCTCCCAGATGGATGGGGGAGCTGGATGGGGTGAAAGACCAAATCGCCTTGGACGAAAGTAATCTCGAGGTCGAAGCCAAGGATGTTCAGTGTGTGTGTGTCCACACCGGTGCCTAAGGTTTTGAGTCATAAAGAACGCTACTGGGGCCCCTGGTTTTGCTACTAAGGGCTCCTGGTATCGCTACTAACTTACAGTTTCTCAACGCAAAAAAAGAGGCAGGGGACGTAGAAAAAGAGGCAGGGGGGCAATGAACACTTTGGAAGGCATTGCCCAACGAAGACCCTTCCATCGTGTTGTGATATTCCTGAGGGACGCCTCGGGAACGTACCTGCATCTCTCAATTTTAAAGCTGTCCACTGCCGAGTCGCAACTGTTGTGGGAACAAACTGTTCAAACATTTTCAAGTCTGCCGACTTTTCACCTTTCCGTCCTGCATTTTTCGGTTCCATCGAGTCAAGGTCTAATGCGTGTAAAGTGGGACTTCATACTGATCCTAGCTCCTGCGAGCAACAATCTAAGTGTGTTTTCGCCACAGGGTCCCACTGAGGGCTGCGGTGTGATCCCCGTCAAGGGGCGCAGCATGTGCACAGACCCAGATCCTGGGGGAATCCTGAACTGCGTTTGATCCTCTCTGATTGGTGGTGATGCACGATACCATTGATCTTACGCCGCAGGGCTCACTGTGATTCCCACTTAAGATTCTCATGGAAACATGCGCCTAAGTATTCACAGGCGGGTTTTGGCACTGTGCTTTTGTTACATGTTTTTCATGCTCTTCGGTTCTTTCTCTCCTTTGTTGCTTTTCGTTTCTTGAGGCCTTTCTTTAGGTTCCAGGTGTCTTTCAGAGAAGGGGTGCGCCGGCCCAAATCGGCTCTACTTGAAAGCCAATGATGGCAAGGCCTACAGGCCACCCTAACCCCCCTCCCCCCTACCTCCCTATACCCCTGGGCCTCGGTTGCTATCCCACCCGCCATTCGGGCAACGGAAGGAAATCGCACTCAACACACTTGTGCGTTGGTGCCTTTCCTTCCGTTTCTCCTACTCTATTGCTAGCTACCCGGGCGGTTTAAGACAAAATGCCCCGCTCGCGTTCTACTTTCATTTAACTAAGTGGGCCTCGTAACTACACCTATCTTTCCTTCTTGCCCTCTTAGTCTGCTTTTGTTTTGTTTGCTTTTTCTGTTTTTCTAAGGCTTTTTAGGTCGCTAGTAGTCTTCAAAAAAGCGCCAATATTGGCGCTATGTGT